TAAAAAAGTTTATAATGTAACTGTAACACCCAATTTTAAAGCTGTTGACAAGGAATGAACTTGTCCAGGTTTTAAGCCTTCAGTAAATTTGGCTGAAGGACAGGAGAAAAAACAAAGCCAGGCTTTACCTTTCTTTTCCAAGCCTGCTCCACCATTCAGTAAGATCATAGCTGATCTGATTGCTCCACATTCCTGCTTACTCCCAATAACATGTCTCCCCTTGCTTATCAAGAATCTATCTCTTCCTAAAAAAAAATCAGACTGCTTTCACAGCCTTTTGAGGACAAGATGTTCAAAGTCTCATCACCCTCTGTGAGAAACAAATCCCCCTTTTCTCTGTCTTAAATAGGCAACCCTTATTTTTAAAGTGATCGTTAGTCTCCCAAAAGAGGAAACTCCTTTCCACACCCAGACTGTTCAAACACTTCAAGATCTTGGATGTTTCAATCAAGTTGTATCTTGCTCTTCTAAATGCCATTGGATGCAAGCCTAATTTGTCTCACAAGATAACTTGGCCTGTCTAGGCAAGTAAAAGCTCTGAATGACTTCCAATGCATTTCCATTCTTCTTTAAGAAAGGCCATTACTGCACATGGTACTTGAGATGTGGTCTGACAAAGACACGATATTAAGTGAAGCATAAGCTCTCTACTTTTGTATTCAATTTTCCTCACAAAAAATGATAACATTAGCTTTCCAAATTACTTGCTGTACTTGCATGCTAACAATTGGCGATCATTGTGCCAGGACACCCAGATTACTCTGCATTTTGTTCTTAGATTATGGACAATGTTGGGTAGGTTGCACAAATTGCCCCAGTGATGAGCCCACTAAACATTCTCATATAGCAGTTTTTACACTTCATAAGCCATTATCAGTCAATTGTATAGTGCATGGACTAAGATCACAGTACAACAAACTGTATAGGAGTAAGTTTTCCCTATCATGAAGGTTATCAGTTACCCAGTTAAGTTTTTACAAAAAAATGACAGCAACAGTCATGATCATTTCCAAGGACAGCTTTTCTTGCCAAAGAGAAAGCTGAGAGTTTTTATAAAGGGTTTCAAAATCACGAGGAGTGGTGCCAGAATAGATTGGAAAAAACTATCACTCATGAAAAGATCAAGAATGAGAGGGCACAGATGTAAAGCAACTAGCAAAAGAAGCAGAAGAGACATGAGGAAAAATGTTTCACACAGCAAATGATTTAATGTCTAGAATGCATTGCCTGAGAGTTGGTAGACGCTGGTTTAATCAAGGTATTTGAAAGGCAATTAGACTGTTATCTGAAAATGAAGAATGAGCAGAGTTACAGGAAGAAGGTGGGGGAATGACATAGGTGAATTGTTCATTTGGAGATCCAGTCCTGACACAATGGGCTGAATATCTTCCTTCTGTGCTGTAACAATTCTATGATTCTGTGATTTCTTTCCCCTGAGTGTCAGGACACAAGTAACAACATTTATTAAATATCCTCCCACAAATTGCCATGATTCAATTCTAATCTCATAATCTGTCGGTGACTAGTCCAATAACATTATCACTAAACTAGAATACACTCTTAGAGAGCAACACTTCACCATAAGAAGGAACATTTTAGTGATAGGAACGTGGACAAATTGTTCATAATAGCAGAAAAGAGACTTGAGGCAGAATCTTATTGGGGTTTGAGTGAGTGGAATGTGGCAAGATGTGTGGCGAAATTGGTTGACAAATGCAACAAGATCCCTCTTGAAGTAAAGGCCATTTCACTCCACTTTGAGCTTTTCACAAGCACATAACAAAATATTGCCACACATGGTGCCATCTTAGGCGACATTGTACACTTTTCACTGTACTCCTGCTCTTTTGTACTTGAGTACACATGACAATAAAACCTCATTCTAATTCTACTTGACACATAGGAAGGTAGTTGCATTCACTGGAGGTCAGTCATCCCAACTCCAGGACATCTCTGCAGGAGTTCCACAGGGTAGAGTCTCTGGGTACAAATGTTAGGTACCAATATTGTTAGGTACTAAAATAGATTAGGTACATACATAGAGAAATAAAGAAAAAAGCTAAAAGTTCTACATTACAGTTCTTCATAGTATAAATTAGGAAAATAAGGAAATGAAGTTAAAAGATAAACATTATAGTCCTTCTGTAGCCTGCAGTTGCTCCATGTTTGGGGCTTTCCATCATGCTGGGTGGACCACAAACGGGCTCACAAGCCACTTAGCGCCATCTGTGACAGGCTGACTGCACCATGCTCCAGTCTGCTGCCCCCTCCACCCAATTCCCCCCTTTTCCAGGCCCCATAATCCCAACCAGCAGTGAGTTTGTCCCCAGTTCCCATTGATTCCAGTTTTGCTGGGACTCCCTGATGCCACACTCAGTCAAATGCAGCTTTGATGTCAAGGGCTGTAACTCTCACCTCACCCCCACCAACTATCATTGTTATGCTGCAGCAAGGACACTGTATATTCATGGACATGCACCTAGCTCATAGCCTTGATCAGGCTGCATCTCTGGGCTCATTTGCTACCTGTTTGCTCACAGCATCCATGGCTGGCATTGTCATACCTTTCATTTTTTACATGTTGCTCCTTCAACCAGAGATATGAGGCTCATATTACTGCTGTATTGCATCACCATTTAGTACAGACACAAAACCAAGAAACTTGTTATGATTATCAGGAGTGATAGCCTTCACTTAGTGGATCTCAAAACAATAAGTTAAGGGCAGCCTTTGCTACTAATCCAGGCCCTGCTCGGGGTGGTCAGAATTAGGACTCTCTCTGCCTAAGGGGTGAGGAGCTTAATAACGTGCAGAACACCACCAGAACATCCTGACTCTTTCTGCCCTCATGTGGGCTGTTTTCCTCCTGGGATGTGTTATGGACCAGACCAGAGCCCCCCCACCCCCCACCCCACTTCAAAATATCTTAAGAAGGTAGCCTAGACCCTAACTTTTTCTTTTTTGAAAAGTAGATGATGTGACTGGTCAAACTACTCGACATTAAGCAAAATACAATTTATTTAAACACTATAGTTAAAATACAAACAAAAGAAAGAGGAATTTAGAATAACTTAACTAAAGAAAAACTTAACTAAATAATAGATGCAGCACCTATTACTAATTAACTGTTCCAATGTAGTAACATCCCATACACACACCCCTTGGCAAAAAGGTAAATTCAGATACGGATTCTTACATGCAGTTCTCCAATCGAGAAGGAAACAACATCAAGAGAGATTTCAGAGAAAATAGGAGCTAGGAATCATTCACTGGAGCTTCCAACTCTTCTGGCTCCCCAAACAGCTTCTGACTGCTAAAGTTAAAAAAAAACCAGAAAGCCTGATCTGTGAGAACCAGCCACTCCCATTCAAACTGCTTCCATTGTTCCAACTTCTTAAAAAATACCTAAAGGTCTCCTAGGTTGTTTACTTATGCTGTCTCCGGTAGCCAGTTCAGTATCTCTGCCTTTAAAACCTCTCTTCAAAACAAACCCCAGGACAAAATAACCTTTTTAAAGTGACAGCATCAACACAAGTGAGAGTCAGGTACTAAGGCAGCTAAAAATCAGTGGCACAGCTGTGACCATTCAGGGAGAAGTGAGTGATTAGACAACATAGTAGACATACAAGGTTAGTGGTGTTGAGGTTTGGGGTGGGAGGCAGTGAATAGGGATGAAATTGTAGGCACTACTAAGAATGGTAGAACATAAGCCTTGGTGGGAAGTGAGGATAGTAGCAGAGGTCGAGTGAATGTGAGGCATCAGAGAGAACGTAGTGGACATAGTGGAGTGGAGAGGAAATTGCCTTTCTTCCTAGAGTGCTGTGCATTGCTCTAGACAGCTGAGATGACTTTAACCAAGGTGGAAAACTTGGACCAGGCTGGCATGGTTTGGTGCCTTGGGCTCCACTCCTGCTCTTTGTGGAATGGGAGGTCCCAAATGTGCACCATACCATCCAGTAGGTCCTCTGAGTGCACATTGATTTGCCGATTTCACCCCTGTCTGCCTGGTAATTGGTACAAATGTCAGGAATCATGCAGGGCAATTTTGGACTGATAGTGCTTGTCTGGGTGCACATTGGGGTTTTAAAGGCTTTTTTTACTTATTCATTCACAGGATGAAGGCATCACTGGCTAGGCAGCATTTATTGCCCATTACTAATTACCCAGAGGGCAGTTAAGAGTCAATAACATTGGGGTGGATCTGGAATCACATGTAGGCCAGACCAGGTAAGAATGGCAATTTCCTTCACTAAAGGACATTAGTGAACCAGATTGGTTTTTTTGACAATTAGCAACGGATTCATGGTCATCATAAGACTCTTAATTCCACTTTTCTTTTTCTTGAATTCAAATTCCACCATCTGCTGCAGCGGGATTCAAACCCAGGTCCCCAGAATGTTATCTGGGTCTCTGGATTAACAGTCCAGCGATAATAGCACTAGGCCATTGGCGTCCCCCTTAAGAGATGTTGCGATAGAAGATGGAGGGTGAATTCTAGGATATCTGCTGGGTGGTGAGTTGTTTCTGGTAATGCACATGGTAAAACAGGATGGAAAGTGTGCATAAGATAATCCATAGATGGATGGTAGTTAATTAATAAAACAAGTTTGGTAAGTTGCAGACTTGCTTGCTGAGCCGGTGTGTTTGATTGCAGACTTTTCATCACCCTGTGAGGTAATATCGTCTGTGCGCTTATGGTGAAGCGTTGGTGTTCTGTCCCACTTGTTATTTATATGCCTCGGTTTGCTGGGTGGTTGGTACTACTTTCGGTTCTGTTTTTCAGTGGTTTGTATATCGGGTCTAGTTCAACGTGTTTGTTGACGGTCATCTACGACCCAATGTTGACGTAATCCACAACCCGAGCTACAAATCTTCTCAAAAACTTTAAACAAGTTTGGTAAGATAGGATGAGAGAACTTGCTATGCCTCGCAGTGATAACCCTCCAAAAAATTCAATGCACCTTAGACTTTGCCATCAAAAATGTAAGATTCAGCACATGTAGACAATATTTATCCCTTTAATGACACGCAAGGGTCTTTTTGGGGAAGAAGAGCATTCTTTCGTACAAACACAATTCCAACTGCCTGGAATGAAGCTGTCAACCAAGTCAGCTTATTCCCTCATATCGGCTTAAGAATATTGCTAAACCAATTATTGTACACCAGTTGCTATCATTGTTGAATAAAACGTGAGACTTGCTCATCCAAATGTTTATAATGTATTTTTTATGGTGCATCTTGCATCAACAATCTCTATTTAGCGAGGAAGACAAACAGGCAAAGTTTTAACAGCCTTCTGTAAATATAATTCTGAAACTGATTTCAGAGGACAAGATTCTACAGAAGATCATTCATGTAGGAAAGTGCCTAGTGCTTATTTAAGAATTCCTTGTTTGATCAATTGAAATCAAAACCTTAAGAAATGGAAAACTAAGGTCACAAACCTACACACAATCACACAACTGGCATAATATATTATGAGGGTACTTAAACAAGAAAAACCTTTTGAAATCAATGGCTTTAAGCCTGATTTAGACAACCACTTCTCCATAAACAATGAAATATTTGTGAAAAATTCATAACAATGCAATTTAAAATTACAGTTGAGACCATGCTCGGAAATTATAGATAGTATTAATAGAATCAGCATAGATGCAGGAAGCAGTGGTTAAAATAATGAAAAATAAAAAAAAACACAATTAATCAATGAGGGGAAACAAATAAAGCAGGATTTACCATTTCCTTGGCTCTGATTGTGAAATTCCCTGGTCCTATAGCAAAGCAATTTGAAAACAACTTGCAGGTGAATTAATGTCACATGACTAATTGTAACAAATTTCTTAGCCCAGTGAGGTAGATATATGGCAAGTATTGCACAGATATGTGCAATATATAAGTATTGCAGTCTTTAAAATCCACATTGCGTTCAACTGAATATTCATTGGTTCTGTAGTGTTTCGTATGTAGTTTCCATAACACGTTGTGACTCCAAATGTATTCATACAGCTGATTAATCAATGTAGCCATGAGGTCCGTGTTCTGTTGCCTTGAAGCTAGGATCTTGTTGATTTCTTGAGACACATTCATATCTGTTGTGTGATTCATCTGCTCCTCTTCATCCCGAACCTCCAAATGATGAAGTTTGTCCACAAGACACTTCTCAAAGCAACAGATAATGCTACTCCCGATATTCCATGGGTAAAAGAGCATAAACAATTTTAAGGACATAGTGAGTTTCACAGAAGTATAGTGAGTTCAAAAGTAACTAAGCAGGAATTTGAACAACAAAAACAGAAATAACTTTGAAAACCACCCTGGAGGGAATTAGCATTACCAACAATTTATGTTGTGATGTAAGGTGTATGATTTATATATAGGATAACAAGGTGTAGAGCTGGATGAACACAGCAGGCCAAGCAGCATCAGAGGAGCAGGAA